CCTAACTTCTTAACTCTAACTGCTTGTCCCTAACTTCTTAACTCTAACTGCTTGTCCCTAACTTCTTAACTCTAACTGCTTGTCCCTAACTGCTTGTCCCTAACTGCTTGTCCCTAACTGCTTAACCCTAACCGCTTAACCCTAACCGCTTAACCCCCCCTGCAGTCTACTTCATCGAGTCTCACATCGACATATCTCGATACCAACCAAAGGAGTACTTTTTCATGAAGCAATCGCTGCCCCTGATCGATAGCGTGCACAAGGATGGCTTCACTATGCTGAAGAAGAGGTGTGACATGCTAATTAACTTCATGAAGATAAACAAGATACCTCAGAAGTATCAGCAGACAAACATGGAGGAGTATATTAAGCTGATGAACTTGACTGCAATCGTTTTGTGGGGAAAGGAGAGTAAGAAGTCCGTGTTCTACGACGACAACGTTAGTCTGTACAGGAAGCTGATGATTGCCTGTGTGTTCAACGGGGGTAAGTGCGGCACGGGAGGATTCGCGTTGCGAGTGTTGGCGTTATATAGCTACGAAGTGGGTAACTAACCCGTCACCCGTTGCACTTTTCCACGACTTCGCCACTCCTTCACGACTTCTCCACTCCTTCACGACTTCTCCACTCCTTCACGACTTCGCCACTCCTTCACGACTTCGCCACTCCTTCACGACTTCGCCACTCCTTCACTACTTCGCCCCTCCTTCACTACTTCACCACTCCTTCACTACTTCGCCCCTCCTTCACTACTTCACCACTATTTCTGCACCACTTCTACACCACTTCTTTCCCCCAGGCAAGACGGTGCAGGAGAAGGTCATCGAGAGCATCAACAAATCGTGCAAGGTCAAGTTCTACGGATTGAACCCGAACAGGCTAGAAGAATTCATCGACATTAATCTGAGTATCAACAAATGGAACCCAATGATCCTGGAGAAGCAAGCGCAGTCTTTCGTCCTAAGTTGCAAAACGCAGAAGCTAATATACAAGAATATCAATGTAGAGAAAATTACACTGAAAGATTTCTACAAACTGGCAGATGCACCAGAGATGATTAAGACATACCATTGCTTCAAATTGGGACGACAAGCTGCTTCTCTACTAGAATCCATCATCTTAAAGAAGAAATTCGTCAGGTTCCGAGTTAGCGACGCCATGGATGTGTATGATTTCTTCTACGTAAATAAAGTCCTTTCCAACAATGTCCGAAAGGACTTCGAAATGTTCTTGAAGGATAAACAGGGCTATGAAAAGAATCAGAACGAAATAATAATCATGAACAGTCCTCTGGGCCCAGAGAAGACCAAGAAGCTCATTGACGAACACCAGTGCTACTGGTTCAGCAGCTACGACAACTTCAAGGTTTTGTGGATGCACGTCTCCAGTAAGGGAATCCTCGTGGGGTCATGACATGCGGCGATATGCAGCGACGTGCAGCGACATGCAGTGTGCATACATCACGCGGAGGAACACTCCACCTGCATGACTACACCCATATCACTCCTGCTGCTTCACTCCGGCTGCATCACTCCACCTGCATTACTACACTCATTTCACTTCTTGCCCTCCCTTTCTTCCCCTTAGGCAACCTGGGAACCGGAACATACTTAAAAAACTTCTTCTCAGAAATATGGCACAACCTCCGATTCATATTCAAGAGGAAGGCCAAGGTGGAGGATGTGGAGTTCTTCTCAGGTGCGTTTTTCTTCCATATGTGCGGAGCGGGCCGAAAAGGGAAAAAGGGAAAGAAAAGAAGAGAAAAGAGAGAAAAAAAAAAAGAAAAAAATAGAAAAAAGAAACCTAATGTGTCCTCTCCCCTTTTGTTTCTTCCCCACGCATGAACAATAGAAGAATCGATTCTTTACCCTCCTCCCCTTCCCCCTTACAGGAGAGCTAATCCAACAGGGGCTGATCGACTATTACTCGCCGCTAGTCCACTCAGAATCGTACTGCCAAGAGAAAATGCAAGCCCTGTTTTTATCATTAAGAGATAATGATGAGGAGAACCGCATGGAAATTCCAGACAAAATCAAGACAGCCTACTTTCAGTGCAAACTGGATTACTACAAAAATTATCACACAGATAAAACGCACTTAATTAAAGAGAGGGCCTTCCTCGAAAACAAGGTATACGTTCTGAAGCAGCCATACTACCTCATTAGCAACATCGACAATACGCATAAGGAGAAGTTGCTTCGACTGTTTGTAACGGAGACCACATTGGATTATCTTCTCCTAGACAATATAAACATCCCCGAGTGCTTCGGACGGTGCACCGTCGATCATTTCAGTAGGGTTGTACTTCAGCAAGGAAAGACCGAAAAGAACGAGAAAGTAATAAAAAATGCATTAATCCCAGAAGACACCACTTCTGAGCAGAGGAAAGAAATGACAGTCTATGTTAGCAACATCTATGTGCACAATTTAAAGACGGATTATTTCACCAAGGAAGAAATTACCAAAAAGGACATTGAATGCAATAGGGTGAGGGTCTGTCTAGGAATGGGTACTTATTTCAAGAAGAACTTCCTCACGGAGGAACATTTCAATTTGACCTACAAGCCCGTGTTGGATTTTGACGGAGAACACAATTTTAAAGTCTTCCTGAAGAAGAATGCGTCTCAGATCTCCCAGAATGAGAACGACATTTGCTTCGTCAACTACGCCTTGGCCATAACCAATCTAGGTGAGCCCCCGTGGGGAGACAGCGACAGGCAGAGAGAGAAAGACAGACAGAGGCGGAGGACACTCTGCAGAGCACCCCGACGTTCATTACAGATGAATTCGCGCCGATCAGCTGGCGCAGATCTGTACTCGAATGTTTATCCCCCTTATCGCTATTCACTAACGACTCCTCACTGCCACTTCACTTCTCCCCGCAGAAATCACTGACCCGTACCGCGAAATCAGCGAAGATTTGATAAAAAATCTGTACATCTTAAGACATAAATAAGCGGCGCATGGGCGCTCAGCAGTGTGTGCGCGGCGCAAGCCGAGGAGGGGCCTCCAATCCGTCACAAATTGGCACCTGGGTGAGCACCTAAAGGGAGGTTGCACGTCGCGACGATGATGTGCAGCCGCCCTTTGGGGTCGTCCTTTGAGGAGGCGGGCATGTCAAACGGTAAGCAATTCCCGAGGGGCACAACTCCCACGTGCAGATGCAGCAAAAGGGAGACGAACCCTAATCCGTAGGAAAAAGGGAAAGCACTCATGGAGAGAAACCGAGAGAGAAAGACAGAGTGAGAAGAGTCCGGAGTGGCTCTGTTGCCCCTCCCACTTTCTCCTCTCACCAAATGGAGACGAATCTTCAAATATCCCTCATTCTGCTTAATGTATCGATTTTTCTATTCAGAATGTCGATTTTGCTGTCCTAAAAAAAAAAAAAAAATGCTAATTAACGTGTGAACACGTGGAGACGAGGCGAATTTGGCACCATAGAAAAATTATGAACATTGGACCAATTGGACACCTGCCAACTGCACAGTTGCGCAACACCGCAACAGCGCAAGTGAGAAAGCCACCCCCTTTTTTCAACACCTCCCCTGTCCTGTGGGCATTTGACACTACGAACTGTGCGCGTCCATTTTTTTAACTGCTTTTTAATGTGTGTCCTCGCGCGTTAGTGTATATAGGATGGCGATCAGAGGAAGGGGAGGAGTGCCTCCTTTCTCCAATGCATTTTTTTTTTTTCCTTTTCTCCCGACCGCCGTTCGCACGCGTACATGCCGTTTTTTTTCTCTCGCTGCGTTTCCAATTTTGCGCTTTAATATTTAGGCCTTAACGTTTACGCCTTAACGTTTAGGCTTTAACGTTTAGACTTTAATTTTTAGACTTAAATTTTAGGCTTTAAATTTTAGACTTTAATTTTTACGCGTTACGGTTTGCACCTTAGGCATTAGCCCTTCGACCGGGGATGTGCTGCCCAATCGCTGCACCGGATCGTGCCGCTACTGTTTCTGGCCCACCTTTATCTTTAGAAGCTTCTCCAAGTTGAAGATTTTGTCCCGCAGGATCTTCACAATTTCGTCGTTGAGGAACTCGGCGCTCTGTGGGCGGAACAGGATAAGTTGTGTCGGGGCGGAAGAAGATGAATGGATGGACGGATGGACGGATGAACGGATGGACGGATGAACGGATGGACAGATGGACGAATAGACGTATGGACACCAGGTGGAACGCCACGAACGAAGTAGACTGGGTAAATAGTGTAGATAGCGGCATCGCCTGGGGGGTTCGGATGGGGGAAGCATCAGTTGAGCCTCTTCCCCCCGTTTGTTATCTTCCCCCGCAGGAAAGGACCTGCCTTGATTGGTCTCCTGACCCCTCGGCAAGGGGGGACTCTTCCTCGTTAAACGGCCTGGCCTCGTCCTCTCCCAAACTGCCCGAAGGCTCCACCTCCATTTCAGAGCTCTGGAATTTATGCAGCTGATTTTTAAACGTGTTCAGCACCTTCTCCACCCCCATATATTTGCAATTCACGATTTCTTCCACATGTCTTTTGTCAATCCGAAATCCCATCCTCCTAAAAACCCTCTCATTTAGTGTGTTCCAGTTGTACCTTTTCTGGCTAATTGAATTTGCCTTACTATAATTGTGCAGTTCAACAAACTTAGGTAGACATATATTGACCAATTCTGCCATGAGAACTCCATCTGAAAATTCTCTGTGGATGTTTTTTATTTTTCTGGACAGATTGAAACTGCTGATCCAGTCATACAGGTCATTTAGTTCCTCTTCTTTCACCCTCGCCACGACTTTTGCGGGTTCTCCTTTGCTCATTCTTCTGCGCCGAAAACGAGGAAAGAAAAGACTTTACGGTGCTGTGTCTATGCAGGCAGCAACGCAGAAATGAAAAGAAGGAACCAAAAGGGGAGAGCCTAAGAAATGGGTGCTTCGCAAAAGGGGTGCTTCACAAAAGGTGTGGGCTTAGGCCGCCACACTTCGATACCCCTATGGGTTGACAAAATACACATTACGGGCCGTCCGCACATGTAATATGCCTCTCCAATATTATCATTTCTGCAAGAACCCAGACAACAAAGGAGAAAAAAAAAAAAAAAAAATAGTTTACCTTAAAGTAGCGGACATACCTTGGCAATCTCAAAAAGATGTCCACTTTGGCACTGTACACTTAACAATCCAGGGGGAAAGGGTGGGGGGGAAAAGACAAAAACCAACAAAAGGGGGAACTCCAAATGTTTGCCCACTCTCCGTGTGCCCCCCCTTCAAATGGCTACTTCTTCTGTTATTGGGGCTAAAGCCACAGAGGAGGTTTCGGTTATCTTATCTAAAGTTAACTTATCTAATCTTTTTTTTTTTTTTCTTTTGACCAAATGGGGAGTGAGACTGAAGGAAGATACCCCGAAGGTACTTCGCACATCAATTTGAGCATACAATTCGGACTGCCTCACTGGGGAAGACACTATACAAGTCAACACGCCCCCAGTGCCCCATCGTTCGCCCAGAGTTTAACTAGACGGGAGGGAAACGTGCATGTATATTTAAGTTGTCCTATAAGGGGGAAAATAGCCCCTCTTAACACTTCTCTGCTTTGACTTGTTTAATTTATCTAATTTGTTTAATTTTTTTTTCTTTTTTTTTTGCATCCCTTTATCTTTCCACAAAATGTCTATCTCTCTTGAGAAAAAAAAAGAAAAAAGACGAAGAAACAATTTAGGGGACATCGAAGGAGGCCAGAAAATATTTAATACGGATTAGTGACACAAGTTCACTACATCTTAGAGCGTGCTGGGGAATATCTTGCAGCGCAGTGTGTACAAGCTCGACATGCACATCGCACCAGACGGGGTAGAATCAAAATAAGTACGCGAGTGGACATACAAGCGGATGAGCTACACGCGGGAGGAAGGAGGAGGAGGAAAGGGAGAATCACAATGCGAGTCCGTAAGTGTTATGTACTCGTGCGGCGAAGAAGGCATCAGCGCTCAACCGCTCCTGGGACGGCACGAAGAAACATGCTAATTATGCGTCTTCCATTTGGAGAAAACTCCTGCGTCGTAAGTGGGGGAGGAGGCTTCCTCAAGGGCAGAGCATTACAAGCAGAGGGAATATTGCTTCTTCCTCCTGGGTTCTTTGAACCGGCGATACGGCGCAATGGCCCCCGCAGATGTGCAAGCACCACAGGGAGCCGAAGAAGCTGGGTACACAAAACATTTCGAGTTGGCATACCGACTATCCGTTGCGGCTTCTTTTATCTTGTCAATATAATCCTTCGCTATAATCGATTCATTGTTCTTTTCCAATGCCATTTTTTTTTTGTCCTCCCTCTTTTTGGCCTCAAACTGGCGCAACACTTCTTGCTGTGCCTCGTATGCATTTTCAATCGTTTCATTCCACTCACTTAGTTTTTTATTGTTATGTAAAAGTTGTTGTTCCTTCAGGGCATGATTAAATAGAATGTTTTTCTCGTACTCATTCATTGCTTCTTCCAATGCCTTTCCTTGTTCCTCCTGCGAGCTTCTCATTTTATCCATCCACTTAGCTTGGTCGTCTACATGCGTGTCCGATATTTTTTTTAAAAACATTAAAACCAGGACTTTCATTTCATCCACCGTAAGGGTCTTGTCTCTACAGCATTTCAACTTACTCAGCCAGTTCTTGCTCGTCATGTAGCTTTCCACGTGTTTTAAGTCTAGCTGGCCTGAGTGGAGGAGAAGGAACGGTGTAGAATTGGCAACAACATTGAGAGGGAGAAAAATGGACTGAAAGATTCACAGGGAAGGAGGGGGTGGGCATACGGACGTGGGTATACACAAAGATTCGTTCGTCCCCTCATTCGATCGCTCTATCACTCCATCGCACCATTCCGTCGCTCCTAGCGCGCCTTACCATTCTCGTCCACAAATCGGCAGACGTACTCCATAAAGCCGCATTGCATTAAGAAGTGCCTGAGTATCATTTCCACCGTCTTGTAAGGCAGCTTGCCCTGATTGCCTATGTCATGACAAGCAAAAACCATGTCCAGCTGCTGCTCAAGTCCGGGGTAGCTAGCGTAGATGTCCTGTTTTTCGAAATCATCCTCCTTCGATGATATTTGTCCCATTGTTGTAGACGACGAGGGGGGAAAGTGACTTGAGCGTCTTTTTTTGGAAGTAGAGAATGGAGTGGGGGAGCTCAGTATTTATGTGTTTGGAATCTCAGTGTGTATGTGTGGGGAGTCTCAGTGTGCATGTGTGGGGAATCTCAGTGTGCATGCGTGAAGGGGCGCATATGCGTGTGCATGCGCTGTGTGAACATGAAGCTGTATATTTTCCAAAATGGTTCAGGGTTAAAAACGAGGTGGCATGTACACATCCACGCGCCTTCCTGCTGTTAAAAACTGCGAATAGGCAAAATTAAAAATAAAGGGCAGGAGGAAGGAACAGAAAAGGAGAAGTGGTAAATAATTCTACAACGCTGGCAAAAAAATAAAATAAAATAAAACAAGTGTGAATCACGTGACTGTTCTGTTTGACAATACTGTCAGTGCTGCGTGATGTGATGGTGAAAAAATGGCAGCATTTTTTTTTTTGAAAAGCGGAAATAAGGACGAACGCGCATCACTTGAGGTGACCAAATTGCACTTTGTAAAAGGCGAGCGAAAATGTTGTCTTTGTCTTCAGGGGTGCGCGCACAGCTTTGCGTTTCTTTTTTGTTCTACGTAGGTCTAGCAAAAGGGAGCGAAGCTGAAAACATACTCTTTACTTTTTGTCCACTTAAAATGAGTAATGTAGACGTTGGGTTAGCCACTACGAAGGACACCTTGTTGGTAGGCAGTCGTCGTAGCTGTGTCCGCACATTGGAGCATTTAAAAAAAGACAAAGCCAAAATATTGCAAAAAAAAAAAAAAACCTTGCATGTTCCTACAATATAGCTACAAACGTGTGGGCTTAAATGGCACTTTTAACAAATCCTACCTCTTTATGCACAAAATGAGGAAAGGTTGGCAGACCATTCTGGCAACATCTTACGGGACAACTTTATTGTGAAAAAAACAAAAGGGTGTGTGGTTGGTGTTATGGTCAAAATTGACAGCGTTAGAATACTCCTGTGTTGAACATTACTGTGGTTTTGCCCATTTGACTATTTTTTTGATTGACGCATAATGGCTTTTTTTTTTTTTTTTTTTTTTTGAAAAAAATGGGTTTTTTTTTTTTTTTTTTTACCAGCACTGTTCATACAAAAATGACTGCACTGTAGAAGCTAGTTAACCAAACGTGTGCGCTAGTGTGTTTTTTTTTTTTCCATTTCGTTAAACAGCGTTTAGGTGTACGAAATTAAAGCAAAAGAATGTGTAGCCCCATCACTGTCTACATTTTCAAAATGGTAGAATTAAACGGTTTTCGTACTTTTTGGGAACATTGCACGGGGGGAGGAAATGTTGCTTTTCCACTTTTTCTTATTTTGTGCTACTACATGGCTGGAAAAAAAAGGGGGGCGAAATTCTGCAGACAGGTAGTGCAGCGTGAGCGGTCATTTGGGTTTTCATTTTGTGTAAGGGGGAAAAAGCGTCGCCAAGTGTAACCCCAGAAAGTAGCGATAAAAACGTAATGCCCCCACCCCAGACGCGAGAATAATCTGTGGTAAATTTTTTATTCCCCGAGTTGCCCCCCCATCGAAATAGCCGTAGCTGCTATTCCCTTTCGCGTTCCTTTTAATGGACGAAAAAGTTGCACTTTATCAGAATTATCGCAGAAATGGCTGCCCTCCTCCTCGTTGGCGCAACTTTAGGATCGCCCTTTTACCACACGGGCGTGCATACGGTGTGCACACAAAGGTTCCTCACGGGAAAAAAAAAAAGAAAAGAAAAAGGGGAACTTTACATAGGGCACTTTTGTCGTTGCCAAAAACGGGTAAACATTGAGCTCATATATACATAGGTGCATATGTACACAGCACAGGTTTGTGGGGGAGCTCCCCCTCCTGTTGGATGCCCAACACACCAAGTCGCTTTCCCAGCACTTCATTGGATATTCCTATTAACGTAAACGTTGTAACGTCTATCGTGTGTGGAGGCGCCACCACTTGCCAATATTTCCTCGATGCTGGAAAAGGACTTGGTCGTTAGCGGCACCGATGGAATGGCCACATCTCCGTTTAGGAAGGATAATAACACGTAATTAAATGCATCGGCCACTTTGAAATAATCGTAATTTAGATAATTGGTCAGGTTAAAAAAATGGAGCGTTATGCCTTTCTCTTGCAGAAGTTTACATTCGTGTGGATTTAAGTAATCCAAGTGTGCCATGCATACTATATTGGCATTTAACGCACTTATGGTGAAAATGTTTCTCTTTAAAACGCTGATGTCACTGTTGGCTTGTGGGAAGACAACGATGGTTTTTACTCCAAGTCCGTTGGTTACGTCGTACATGTGCTGTTGGACGTTTGTGTCTTGGGTCCGTATGGAGACCCGTCCTTGCATGATCTTACTGCTGATGTGGAATTGTTCCAGCATCGCTTGTGTTGGGGTTGTCACTTCATCCGATTCTCCACCCGGTTGCCCATTTGGTTTCCCGCTCGGCTTGCTCGACAAAAATACCTCTATGAGGAATTTACGGCTCATCAGAAGCTTCAAAAATGGGAGCACTTGAAAAATATCGTCCGCAAAAATGGCAACGTACTGCAGCTTGTTTGAGCAACTGAGGGTACTCATGCAAATGTGAGCTTCGTAAAAGGAGCGGAGCGCTGCGCACACTGCATGATCCTTTTTCAGATGGCTGCAAGGATATTCGATAATGTCATGGTAAGGCGTTACAATTGTGTCGTTGATAACTCTGCACTTGAGGGTGAATATGCCAATAATGTCTTTTCCAAGGACTGAGTTCCCTGCGACTATCTCTGAAGCTGTTCCCCCCACACGTAACACTTTACCAATATATACATTCCCGATTAAGTAGCTTAGCTCGGACTGACCTTTGCCCTTATTCTGCTCGTGGCCTTCCCCCTCTGACGTTTTCACAACTTGGCAATTTTTCCTCGATGGCAAAGGGCGGGGGGAGAAATTGGACGCACAGAAGGAGATGCATTTTACCTGGACGTAAATGTTTAAGTCGTTAAAGTGCATGCTTCCAAAGGGGGGAGGGGTCCAGGGAGGACCGGGGTGCGTAGGTCAGCAATTGCTTAGATGCGCAGGTGGATTGGTGCTCTGATTGGCTGTCTTGCCCTAACTGCGCGCTTCAAGCGCAGAAGGGTTAAAATAGTTAAATGGGAAAGCCGCTCCAAATGGAGGAAATCCTCTGGGGGGGTATTCTCCTTCTATGTTCTGTCTAGATTGTCCAAGTGAGAGCAAAATTGTCTTTGTGTGATTATCCCTCCCTGTTTGTTCGGTCGTGTTGGAGGGTTGCTCTACGCGATCGTTCACGTTTGATTGTTGCGAAATGGTTACCAAAAAAGAAAAAAAAAAATCATGCATAGGCACATACATGCGTAGGTACATACACACCCATATATACACATTTATCTATACGTACCCGCGAAGAGGAACGCAGTGGCTGCCCCTACGAAATGTCCGCGCCGGCTTGTCCCCCTCAGTCGCGCTTGATGGGCACATTTTCGTAATTGACGCAGTCGTAATCTCTGAGGATTTTCAGCAGCTTGTTCTTTTCCTCCATCAGTTTGTTTTCGCGGATGTTTATATTCTGCTGCCGAGTGTTCCTGATTCTGTACTGCAGATCTATTAGGAAGGTGCCTATGCTGATGGTTAAGGACATGAGAAGTACCATTGGGACACCGCAGGAGAAGAGTTTGTATCTCCTCTCGATGACTTCTAGTCTGTACTTGGTTCGTTCGCACTTCTTCACGAAGTAGCTGATTAGAGCTCTCATTTTATCGCTTGCGCGCCTACGTGTGTAACGTTCGCATATGAATATGTACGTGGGTACATTTTTGTACTACAACACGAGCTGGTTTTCCTCCACCCTCGTCGGACTCCCTTCCCCTAGTGAACCCAGTATAGTAACGCCCGCAGAAGAGTACATAACCATCCTCCTTCGAGCATCTCATCAGACTGCTAAATGGTCGCGTTGGCCACAATTCCTACTGACGCCAAGTTTGTGTCCTCTATATGCCTCTTGGCGAGCCCCCTTTGGCTCGATGTATATATGGACCTATCTTTGTGATGGTGAAATGTCAGTGACGCGGGGTTGAGTGGAGCAAAATTGGGAGGCACATCAGCAAGTCACGCCAGAAAGTGACGCAAAATTGAAGAAAATACACGGCTATCGTGAACGGCCATATTAAAAGGGGGAAAAAAAAGCAATCGTACAAAGTGGGAAAAAGAAAAAGGCAGGGCAACCTGCGAAGCGTGTAAAAATTAACCAACCTGAGTAGGTATATTTTTTTTTTTTTTTACAAACGTGCGTATACCCGCCGGGCCAATTACAAAGTAGCAATTTCAAGAGGTGGAAATTCCTGACCAGTTCTGTTCACGTAAAATTTGTTCCCGATGTGAGCAGGCGGAAAAGTGATGAAAAAAAAAAAAGGGGGGGGGAATTTTCCCAAGTTGGAGAGAAGCACACCACCGCGTGCGCTCCTTCGTCTCTTTGTTCTTAACGCCGATATGGTAACTTTTTCGTTGCATACACATTTTTTGTTGCCCCCATTTGTGCACATTATTTTTTCCCTTGTTTTTTTTTTTTTTTCTTTTTACATTTAAGTGTGCACCCCCAAGATATTTTTCCAAGTGCCCAACTAGGTCCTTCCTCCTTATCCTTCCCAATAAGCTCTTAACTGATTATCTATTGAGATACATTTTTTTTTCTTTTTTCACCTCTTTTATTTTCCCTTTTTCGCTCTGGTTTTAATTTTTGGGTCGCTTCACCAAATTGCCGCGTCTGTTTGGAGGGATTGCCTTGCGAAGAACTGGTGGTTATTTTTTTTTGCCGGGCTCAGCCGCTCTCCCCCCAGCGTGGAGAAAGCATGATCAAGTACAAACATCAGCAAACGTGAGCAAGTGTGAACTAGAGTGGACGTGAAGACTCGGCAAAATGGCGCTGTTCACCCTTCTGACCTTTCTCTTTTTCCCCTTTGTGTCTTGTCCCCACTTGTGCTACTCCTTTAAGAGCAATCGGGGGCGCGAACAGACGCTGCTAAATTCGGACCCCACACATGCGCACAGCTTTGACAAAAAGTTCTTAGAAAGTCAACTGTGGAAAAAAAATAGGCTCTACTATGTCTCTTCCAGTAAGACAGCCTGTGGACTTTCGAGCGCATCACCCCCAGAAAAATGGGCCAATGTGCATGTACACTCCTTTACCGCCTCGAGAGGTGCATCTCCATATGTACACCCCCCAAACGCACACACTCTCCGATGCTACTTTGTTAGGTAAGAACCTGTTCAGAAACAGCTTCCAGACGAATCACGTCCCTAGGGTAAAGATAGCCCTTTCGCTATTTAAGGGTAAGTTTTTTTTTTTCCACCCCCTTGTGTTTAATCCTCTCCCGAATTAGCACACGCAACGGCAACTGCAAAGGCAAATTCAAATTCAAATGCAACTCCGTGTCCTTCCCCCCCTTTTGTAGATATTAATATGTCTAATCTGTTCCCCGGCTTCAAAACAATTTTTAACAAAAAGTAGGTGGTTGCCATCGAGCGGGAAAATCGTCCCTTTTTGTGAGCTCCCTCTTTACGGTGTCCCGAATGGTCCCCCACACCATCTCACACTTTTACCCCCCACGCAGGTTCCTGTTCGAGCCCCTGTTTAACTCACACAAGGACATCATCATGCGAAACATGAAGACGATCCAGTTGATACAAAAGTAGCCTTCCGTGGGAACCCCGTTCCGTTCATTCTTCTGCCTACTTTTCTTTTTTCACCTCACCACGTTTCTCCCTTTTCCACTTCCCCCTCGTCGCAGAGGAAACGTGGTGAAGAACCTCGTGATTTTCGGGGCCTCCTGCTTCACGATTTATGCTGTGTCCAAGCTTCTCTTAATGCTCAGGCGGTTCTTCCAAAACCAATACAAAATGGTACTGCTTTGGTGGGGCTCGTAGCCGAGCTGTTGCATAGATCCTTTAAAAAATGGGGAGTTGTTCATTTTGGACCATTTCACCCCGTTCACCCCATTCACCCGATTCACCATTTTACCATCTCCACCCCTGCAGATAAGTGAACAGGAAATAAAAATGCTAGGAAAATACGAAAACCCGCACATTGAATTTAAGGACTGAGTGCCACTACCCTCGCTTCCCTTCACAGAAATCGCTTCTTTTTTTTAAGTCCATTTTGTCCACCTTGTTTTGTGCCATTTGGGGTCACCTTTCCTCCACTTCTGCGCCATTTTGCGGCATTTTTTGACCCATTCGTCATAAAATAAGTCACGCGGCGCATTTGGTTGAAGGCCTCTGTTTTTTTTTCCTCAACCCTTGACAATTTCTTGGGAGCATTAATCTGCGCATTGTGTTATCCCTCTTTTGCAAACTCCCTTTCGTTTTAAGCTTTCTCCGCGCAATTTTATTATTTTATTTTTATTATTATTATTTTTTTTTGTTTTTGAGTGAAAGACAAACATAACACGCGTAACGGTACACCGCAAGGTGGTCCATTTTGCTCGTTTTAAAAATGCCCAGGCGTCTCCCCTTGTCGCACGGACGGGGAACAGACAAATGTATGTACACGGACCTTTGCATGCACTTGGAAGGTGGCTTGCTTGGGCGCGGCGGACGCAACTTGTCCCCGGCAAGTAAATCGCAACACGCAGCCCTCACTGGCCATCTCTCGATTGCAGTTCTCAGTTAGTGTCACATCTTCCAATTTGTACCTCCTAGTTCACCCCTTTTGTCAACGCGTCTTTTTACAATTTGTTCACCACCCCTTTTGTCAACGCATCTTTTTACAATTTGTTCACCACCCTTTTTGTCAACGCGTCTTTTTACAATTTGTTGGCAGCCTCTCTTATGCCGCTCAAAGAAAGCGGTAAAAATTTTCCGACGCATGACCCTGCTAAGTAGAGGCTCTGCACACATCTCTGTTGAACGAACAGGAGGACATTTCGCTCAAGGAGCAACATCGCGAAGAGTAAGGGAAGCAACGCGCTAATCCGTCACATGCGTTAAATTTGCAACGGGTTAGAAGTTCTCCTTTCCTATTCCGCGTGAACCACGTATCTGTTTTTTCCCCCCTCGAGTATCCACTACCAACATGTGCAAAGCCGCCATGATAGACGTCGCCACGATAGGCAGCACCACGATAGGCGGCGCCACACTGGACGTAGCCGAGATGAAGGCCAAAATTCGGAGCTCCAAACTGCACGTGCTAACCTTTGCAACCCACGAGCAGGGGTACTTCAAAACATTGCAGGAAAGTTGCTCCCGTCTGAACATAGAACTGACTGTGCTAGGAATGGGCAAAAAATGGGAAGGCTTCATCACCAAGTTGGTAAAAGTAAAGGAGTACATAAAATCGTGCAACGACAACGACATCGTCCTTTTTGTGGACGGCTTCGACACATTCTTCGTTCAGCCAGCGAATGTAATTGTGGAAAGGTACATAGTGAATTATGACAACTTATTTGTATGCACAAGCGAAAGCACTTATTCGACTAGCTTTTTCCTCCTACGGATTATCGAAAATATGCACTTAATTTTTCACAACAGCATTTTTAAAAACGATGACAACACTGAATGGGATGCCACGAGGATTCGAGACAAATATAAAGACTTCACTTATTTTTATAAAAATTTAAATTTACTAAATTCGGGCGGTTGGATAAGCAACGTCTTCTTAGCCAAAAAAATTTTGCAATACATCCCTTCCTTTATTGAGAACGACCAGATCTTCCTCACCAACTTGTACTTAGACTGCAACTATTTGATGAAGCTGCCGCAGGATAGCCCCACACACGGAGAAAAAAACGCCGTTCATAGTTGCGTCCCTCAGGAGAATGCGAAATATTATAACAGAATTATCGTTGACAATCACAACATTATTTTTCATTTGTTTCGAAGCAAAGGGAACGTGGCTCTGATGAGTTACCAGGACTGTGTGCAGTTTTTTCCTTTTCGCCCGTTGCTCAGCGCGTACTACCTCAACAAGCGAGGTGACGCGTCGACCGAAGAGGAAAGAAAAAATAGACAAGCTAGCCAAACGGAGGAAAAAAATAAAAAAAATGGCCTGGCTAGCCAAACGGAAGGAAAAAATAAAAAAAATTCAGTCCTATCCTCCATAGTGGAATTTTTTAAAAGAAAAAAAAGCGAAGGGAGACAGCTAACAAAAAACGAGATAGACGGACACCAACGGACAGAGTCCTACCCCCTCGGCAGAGGGAATACTCCGAAAGGAATCCCCCCCCCTGGGAAGCATCATACCGACGCGGACTCAGTCACATGGACGAAGCAGAAGACCATTCTGGATGAAGTGTATATGAATGAAGGGCAACGGAAAATCGGTCAGATAGCAAAAACATTCAATTACTCCATAATTGACACGCACACACACACCTCCCCGTGTATTCTCCACATGCACTGCCTGCGAAATGTGGACGAGATGATTCGCACCATGGGATTGAAAAATATATACTCATCCAAATGGTACAGCAAGATATGGTACCTCTTTTACAGCCTAAAAGGGACGCTGAATTTTAACTACTTTAGCCTCCTCTTCTCAACGGTCGTCGCGTTTGTCGCGCTACTGCTAATTCAGGTGAAGTATCTGCTCGAGTTTATAAAATATATGAACTCATCTTTTGGCATGAACTACATCGGGGAGAATAGGTACGTCAGCAAGGCGATGTTTCTGCTGGACGATGTTGGGTACTCCTGCTTTGTCTCCTTCCTATTTGCCATTTTGTTTTGGGCCTTTTACATTTTCAACAAGGCCATGGGATAAGGGGTGCGGCGCGAAAGAAGAAAAGAAGAAAAAAAAAAAAAAAGGAGGCCATTCGGCTGGTCACCCCTACGGAGGAGTACTTCATGGGGGTGGTTACAATTTTTTTTTGTTTTTTTTTGTGCAATTAAAGTTGAGCATATAGGCTATGCCAATTTGTAGATCCCCCCTACACACACACAAACAGACAGACAAACTGACAAACATACACCCGCTGTTATATCTCAATTTTGATGGTCTCGAAGCGCGCGCTTCCCTCCTCCTCGGCACCCTTAACGTAGGTGTTTACTTTGTCGAGAAGAAGCTGCCAATCCGCGCTCCTCTTCACACGTACCATCTTGAAGATGTCCTTGATGAGCAGCCACTGGTAGGCCGTTATTTCGCTTTTTTTACTCTCCACGACGGTGTACAAGTTGTCCATGTAGTGATCAAAGCGGTCCTTGTCAAGCTCGTTCAAGGACGCAAGGGAGTAGAACAGATGAATGAGCGAACTGATGGATGTGCATGGCTGAGCTTTTTTTTTTTTTCTTCTTCTTTCTATATTTTCTCCATCATCATTGTTATTATTATTATGATGATGATAGTTGTCCTCCGCCTGGTTGACAAAGGAGGAAAACTCTTTATCCGAAACTGAGTCCCCCAGCAAAGTTGCCTTCGTAGCATGGCTGATGGTTTGTTCCAAAATGAGCTCATTCAGTTTTTGTACATGCTCGTGTTTCTTCTCCGTTTGGTAGTTGAACACAAAGGTGTCGATTTTGTCTTCCTCCCGTTTGCCCCCCACTCCGTCCTGTCCCGTCTTCCCATTCTGCTGTTCCTCCAAATGGGCAAGAAATGTGTGTGCGTCGAAATGGGATAGTTTGTCCTTCACGAATTGAGTCACTTTGATTAAATAGTGCTGGTAGACTTTTCCGAAATTGGCTTCCTTCAAGGTGAGCTCTTCATTGGAGGTCACTAAGTGGGCGAGCCTTTGTTCACGAGAGGTGGGTGTGAACCGTTCGCTGTTGGAAGTGTCTGCCATTTGGGTATTTTCCCCTCGTTCTGTATTCACCCCGGCTTCGTTGCTCCCCCCGGGGTGGCTGAGCGATAAGGTGTAGAAGAGATAGTCGCAAATGTGGTCGGCGCTGATGTGGGAAAGGTTGCTGGAGAATAAAAGGGCATACTTAAGCATGATGCTTTGGTCGAAAATTTTCATCTCTGACAGGTTCTTCATTATGTAGTTGAAGTTGGTGCAGTCTATGGGTGGAGCAGTGCGGGCGGCCACATTTTCCGTGGTGACCACTTCTCCCTTGGTGATCGTTTCTTTCGTGGCCCCCGTCTGAAGGACGCGCGTGAGAAGTGCCCTGAGGGCGCGAAACAAATAGTTGAGCAGAATTCTGTCGTATATATTGCTATTGTTCATGGAAAGGAGAATCATATTGAGATCTATCAAGTTGAATCCTGTGTAGTCCCTCTGGATGATATGCTTACGAACCTTTACGAAGCATCTACTTTTGAGTAAGTTTAATTTGAAGAGGGAGTAAAAAAGGAAGGAAATTTCTTTGTTAGTCAATTTGGAGATCGACTTGAATATAAAATTTAAGACGTACTTGAGGTAGTAGACATATTTGTCTTTGTTGTAATTAAAAAACATTAGCAGTTGCATGGCTTGCTTTACATTTAAATGTTGAAAGGATTTGTCTTTGAAGTTAACGTCCACGTGATAGTAGTCATTTTTATTTAGACACCAAAGGAACAAACTCATGTTTCGAAGGTTCATATTGGAGGAGTGGAAGAGCAACTTATCCTTTACGACGGCAAGAGTGGAATTGTTTCTCCTCAATTTTGTCATTCCGTACAGGATATTCATAAGATTTTGCACAGAAAATTTATTTATATTTTTTTTAATTTCTTGATCAATTAAATAAAAAAACGGATCCCCACTTTTGTATTGAACCAACCCAAGGGAGTAGTAGATGTTCGAAATGTCGTGGCAAGACATTACAGAGGTGTACTTCTCCAAAAAATAAACAATCTTTTTGTAATTTTTTTCACAAACCTCTATATTGCTATGGGAACATTTAGCTAGACTCCATAAAATTGCACACAAACTTTTGGTGTTCATTTTTTTCAAGGTTTCGTAGGTGAGATATTTCACAAGATGATTTAAAATTGCTTCGAAGGTGGACCTATACTTCTCCTCCTTGTGTATATTCAACTTGACTAGGATCCATAACAGCCAAGTTTTGTCCACCACTCTATATATTTCCTTTTTCTCCAGAAATTTCAAAATGTCTGTTAATATGGTTTCGAAGGTGGGGTTGTAAATAGCATTTTTCAGGAAAGCATTTAGCCCACTTTCGCTTTCTCTCTCAAAGTTGTATATTTTCACTAGCTGCTTTAGGATGTAGAAACAGACAACTATGTTTGCCAGGTGTCTCTTTTCCTTATACAGATTTAGCAGATCTTCGTACAGGTAATTCTTCTCTATTTGCTTCACCACTGTGTGGCAAAAGGCGCTTTTCCGCGGCCTCTTTTTTCCCTCGATGAGGCTCTCCTGCAAGGCGATCAGGTCTGGTCGTTGGGTCGCCTCGCTATAGGGATCGTCTGCCTCGTCGATGCTTAACTCGGTTGCCTCATCGCTGCTCAACTGGGTTGCCTCTTCGCTGCTCAACTGGGTTGCCTCTTCGCTGCTCAACTGGGTTGCCTCTTCGC